GCACGCATGCAAACCAAGCAGACAAAGGGGACTGTACCCAGAATTTCTCAAAGGAGGGGGGAAGCCAAGGGAGGAGCTGATGGGGAGAATCGGGCTGCGACAGCTGGAACAAACGTCAATGCAGCAAGGGCGCGTGCGAAATGCATCCAGCGCACCAGAATGAAGCCAATGAAAGTGACTGTAAATAAACACATATAACCTGAGGATGCTGTTGGCTAAGGAAAGCTAGAGGGCCTTGCTGTTCGCGGGGTAAAGGCTGCAGCAGGCTGACAGGGTTAGCGGGGACGGGGGCTGGCGCCGCACACCACCACCACCATTTCACACCACCACCACAGGACCGCGGCAAGCTGCCACGCCGGCTGCCAAGTCACAGGTGCTGCAGGCTACGGCGTTTGGGCCACGGCTTACTGCTGTGCTGCCGCGGGGGCGGGGGCGCACGTGCTAGTGACTTGGAGCCGGCTTGGGGGGCTCGGGGGCTCGATTCGGGGCCAGCCGCTCCACCACTGCAGCGCTTGCGGGACACCAGGCTGCTGCTGCTGCCAGGGGGCTGCGGCAGAGCCGCTGCTGACGGCTGACAAGGGCGGGCTGGCGGGCACAAAACGGCGGGCAGGCGCAGGTGGGACACGAGCCGCTTACGATTGGGGCCGCTCCGGCGCAGGTTTCAACAGATTTCAGTTCCCAAGGGGCTCGGCGTGCTGCATTGTGGCCAGATGTTAGCGCTGCCGCGGCTGCCCAGGCCAAATGCAAGCACCCAAAGAAGGAAAAGCGCAAAGCCAGCGGTTTCAACTCGGGGACGGGCCACACCACTCAACCTGGCTGCGCGGGCGAGCCACTGGGGTGCTGGGGAGCCAGAATGTTCCAGGCTGCAGCAGAGCCACAGTTAGGCTGCACCGCCGCCGCTGCCAAAGAATGCAAATACTCCAGGAAAGGACACGCCACTCAGAAGCCAAGAAGCCCAGCAAACCACCAAAGGAATAGTGACGCAAATCAACAGAGTTACCCGACAAGTGGAGGAGGAGCGGGAGAACGGTGGTCTCGGTCGCGCCATCAGAAAGAGCTGCACAGGTGCCAAGCTTAGTGCGCTGCCAGGGCTGCCGCCGCGGAAGGCAAGAAAGGGGAGACGCAGGAAGGCGGTACGGCATCAGGGTGCTCAACCAGTAATCAACATCACTATCAAATTCACCACTCATTCAAGGAGGAACCGCGGGTGATGCGAGGAGGTGTCGGCGGGGGACGCGGCGCGGGGGACTCGGGAGGTGGCTGGATGCAGCGGGGCCCACACGTTAGTGCTGCCTGCCCGCTGGCCGCTGTGCTGGATGCAAGGAGCTGGGGGGAGCCAGGCGCTGGAACAATCCACAGAGCAGCGTGGCGGAGGGAGCTTGCCGGGGGCGGTGGGGGAGGCGGCGG